AGACTCTTCGCAGCCTATTTATAGGGCCGAACTTCGGACCTATGCTGCGCGTACCACTCAACTACGTTGGGCGTAGTTCGGATAAGGTTGCCAGGTGTGTTCCAGCTGGCTCGCACTCGGATAGGACCCGGATAAGACTGAAGGTACACGGGGCGTACCGGACCTTGTACGCGAGGCGTAATGCGACGGCTTCGTGGCATGATCCGAAGCGAGGTCCGATCAGCGATGGAGGGTCCAAATGTTGCCACGTCGTCTCACTTTCACAATTTTCCTTCTCAAATTCTAAAAATCATAACCTTCACATACGAGCTCCGTTTTCGACGTTCTTTATATCCACGCGAAGGACAGGATTGGTCCGTTAAATCCTCATAACTTCTTCATCCGACGTCCGTTTTCACCCATCTTTTTCTCGTTACGCTACTCTTAATGAGATCTTCGATTCTCGTTTAGGTCGTGTCGGCTAAAAACCGCTCGATCTAATATTCGAATTTCGGGTTGTACACTACTAACTCGAAACTTCGAAAAATCATAACATCTTCATACGAAGTCAGATTTGGGTGTTCTTTTTATCGATGTTCTTAGTTTAACATATTCTACGACTTTTGTTTAGATCGCTAAGGCTAAATCTCGCTCTATCATAAATTCACTATTTACGCTCCTCGATGCCGTGTCGGTTCCGTCGCAAAACGTCGACGGGTCATAACTTCTTCATTATAACTCGGATTTCGGCGTTCTTTATATGTAGGGAAAACCTGTGACATATTCTACAAATTGGTTAAGATTATTTATTCTAAATAATCTTTTGTCGAAAAGTCGTTTTCGACCCCTATTGCCTCTAATTTGACTAGCCCGGATCTGCGGGCATTACATATATGATTCGGGAAGCAAAACTAGAACCAAGTCAATGGCCAGCTCCCTTACGAAAACGACACCTAACATCCCCAATCTATCAATGTATGATTTCATTTTCAAAATATGCGCACACGTAGACTTTCCATCTTGATGTTTACATGCCAATATGGTTTGAGTAGTTTCATATTTTTCAACTTGAAGAAGACATGACTTGGGGAGAGTCACTGGAGGAGGTGGAGGAAGAGTTGGAGAAGCATAAATTCTAGTTCCACCATTGTTTGAAGAAGTGAACATTCTTTCGCCTTGATCAACATGTGGAAAATCATCTTTAGAAGGAAAAACATTTCTAGAAGAACGAAGAAGACCATTGTTGTCTGAACTTGACATCTATAAAGGGAGAATAGAGAATTCAAGTTAGTTGATTTTAATCCTTAATTATTAACCCAAAAATTTAAATTAAGGCCATGATCCATATTTTTCGATTCGAATTCTGAAGAGGGATGTTGTAATCAAATTCGAATCTATTTTAGGTAACTAAGGCTTTTACCAATTTCAATCTCATGAAACTCCTGGATCTTTGCGATTCATTGAACTATTCAATGACATGTTTAATCTTGATTATGCTCTCACTTTATGAATGATATGTCGAGTATCACAAACGAGATGTGAATAATCATGCAAATTAGCTTGGTACGCTCAATGTCACTTATCATCTGAAATTAACATGTCGGTTAACCACACACGCTCCATTAAGTCAATGATAATTTACATGACACCCATTGCCAACATATTAGTCCCATATTAATGTGTCGGTTAACCACACGCACTCCACTAATGACCAATAAGGTGCAATGTGCAATTTCATGGATTAACATCAAATTCACATTTTTCCTAAAGTAACTAAGAATGATATTTTAGAAAATGGTTTAGTTACTTTATCATTATACTTTTAGTGAGAATTAATTGTCTTATCGAACCCGTTCGGCTAACGACCCTCCATCATACAAGAGAGCGGTGGGTAAGAATGGATACCCACTGACGGTCATTTTACAGACTGCTTCCTTAAACTCCCCTTATAGTATGACTTCGTAAATGAGGCGTACTGGCAGTTCGAATGACTTTTCTTATACATATAATATATATTAAACTCTTAATTATATATATATATATATATATATATATATATATATATATATATATATATATATATATATATAGAGAGAGAGAGAGAGAGAGAGAGAGTATAAGGTGAATTTTAAACATTTTAAAATTCCAATGGTTTAATCTTTTAATAAATTAAACTTTTAATTAAATTAAATTTAAACCAGTTTATGGATTTATTAGTTATCTTTTAATTAATCACTTAATTAAATTAATAAAATCCATAAGGATGTATTTTAAACTTTTAAAAATACTAAGGTTTTAAAATCTATTTAAAATTTCGAAAATTAAAACAATTTTAATCTAAATTTTAAATTTCAAAAAATTTGATTTAATAATTATCTATTAATTAAACATTTAATTGATTTATTAAATCAATTAAGGATTACCCATTAAATTAAACAAATTGATTTAACCTAATCCCTTATCCCCTAGATCTCAAAAATATGGAAGAGATTTATAAGATTCTATAATTATCTAGTTAAACAATTAAGAAGATAATTACCAAATATAACAACCCAATCTAGTCCTTATATTTTCAAAATCTTTGACTTGGGGTGGAAGACAAGGCTTTCAATCCTTGCCTTATTTTCAAAAACCCTAGGGTGAAGAAACCCCAGATCTCAAAATTTTGGAGGCCAAATGAAAGGGTTAAAGAACCCTTTACAAATTTTTGAAAACCAGGGTTATGAAACCCTAATTTTAGAACATCATAAGGCTTGGGGTTTAATTTCCATAAACCCTGATTTTGTCAAATTCAATCACTTGCATCAAATCTAATTGTAAACAAAACCAAAAGCTTTGATATCACTAATGGGTTTTGAGCATAGCAAACAATTCCTAGATGTGCATGCAACCTTAGTAAATTAGATCTATGTTTTCTCTATTAGACATACAAGCATTGAGCACAAAACTAGAAACCCTAGAAGGCAACTATAATTTTTGAAAATAAGAATAAACTAGGGTTTAGATACATACCTTTAACATTGTTATTGTAAACAATCTTGAATACTTACTTGAAAACCCTTTGGTAGCAAGCATCACAAGTGTCACACCTCTAATGGTTCACAAACAAACCCTAGCAACTAAGAAAAAGTATATATATATATATATATATATATATATATATATATATATATATATATATATATATATATAGAGAGAGAGAGAGAGAGAGAGATGGAAGAAGCTAAAATTTTGTCCAATGCTTTTAAAAGGATGGCTTAGACAAAATTCAACCCTAATGAGGGGTCATATAGTTGTTAGGAAGGTATTGGATAAGGTGAGTATATCCAAGATAACCCTAACCCCTTAACTTCCTTCTTAAGGCATCCAAGACACCCTTAAAGTCCAAAGAAACCGTAAGCACACTCTAGATTTCGTTCCCCCCTCTTTAGGGAGGCTCTAGAACTGCTCAATTTTCAACGTTTGAACATTATCACCTTTAGTCCCTATACATTTAATTAATTCCTTTAACCCCCAAAATTAATTCCAAATTAATTTCTGATTAAATATTAATTGAACAATATGATTTCTAATTAATATATTATTTCCATAATACATTAATAAATCAATTATTTTGATTTCTAATTAATTTTTTAACCAAGTAATAAATTAATAAATCATTTTTCTCTCTCTAATAATTATCTTATTCAATTGTCGGGTTTGAAGGCAACCCAAAAAGATTGTGCTACTATCAATTCAAGATTATACCAATTATAGTTATGGGCTTAAACATCTAATCCAACAGCTTCTTCTTTGGGATTTGTTTTCTTCAACGTCTGCCGACTCCGATTTAGGGTTTCAAAACCCAAGACGGTGGTTGCGGTGTCTGATTAAGTTTTCCATCACTACAATGATAATGAGTGTCTGTTGTGTCGTTCAATTCACCAATGTCACTGAAATCATTGAGCTCACGAAACAAAGCAAAAAATGAGATACGAAAGTGTCTCATGTGGTTTGATCTAATTAACCCTAGATTTGGCTCTGTTGTGGACTCCATTATCTTCACCATTACCGGCCTTGCAGTTTGAGACGACATCGGGCCCTCAATCGTCTTGTCTTATGTTATTTTCGGGTTATCTAGGTTTGTTTCATATCAAAACTCAAAGGTTATGGGTTATATATATTTGGCCTACAACTTAACTAGAAACAAGTTTTGGATATGGAGAACATGTTTTTTGAGATGAAAACAAATAAAAAGGGTTCTAGAGATGGAGAACAAGTTTTTGGAAATGAAACACATATGTCACATGATAGAGATGAAGAACAGGTCTGCAAAATCGATTTTTTAAGGAATTTCCAGGAACTCGTTTTGCAAACTCGATTCATTCCTAGGTTGAAGCTAGATTTGGCAAACTTGATTTCGGATTCAATTTTGGGTTGATATATGGATTCAAATTCGATGTTATGTTTTTTTACAAACTATTTTTAGGTTTTACTAAGAGAGAGAGAGATGGATCTCGTGTGAGTGTGTGTTTGTCTAGAGAGAGAGAGGGGGGGATCATCTTTTATATATATATATATATATATATATATATATATATATATATATATATATATATATATATATATATATATATATATATATTAGGCAAACTTCATAAATAATCTTTATAGTAATGAAATGGTAAAAATATCCTTCAGTTAACGGATAAAACTTAACTGAGTGAGTCTTAAGGACCAAACATAAAAAAAATTCAAAACACATGGACCAACTGTGATTTTTTTTTTTTTATAATTTAACGACTAAACTTCAAATGTTAAAAAAATATAGATATCAAAAAATGATTGTTTTTTCTTAGCTTAATAGATACATATTTTAGTTGATACATATTTGATTTTAGTTAATCCATATTGATTATCAAGTTATCAATTTTTTAATAGTGGACATTGATTCTTTTCTTTATGCATTATGAATTTAAACATTATTTAATCACTAGGTCGGTAGAATTTATACATATATAGTTTTTGTCTTTTCTTCCAAAAGCATCTCTCTCTCAAACGATCATCTACCAACAGGCCACCAAACAACCCCCAATAAAAGGCACGCAGCCTTAGAATCACATAAAGATTCGGCTCCAGAAATCCTGGATGGAGGATCACCCTAAAGATGACAACAACAAGAAGAATATTAAAGCCATGCCGCCGGCAATAAGTATCGGTGGTGGTGGTGGTGCCGGCAGACTTGGAATGGGTGGTATTTTGTTGTTTGGTGGAGCTTTGGTCACTGCGACCATTGTATCAGCAGCCTTAGCTTTCAAAATAAGACGATCATCTAAAAAAAGCAGGTGGCCATCACCGGAGACACAGAGTGTCGATGCACCAGACCAGGTGGAATTCATGGTGAAGACTAATAAAGATCTTCCTCTTGGCTCTCAGAATCAGAGGTTTTTTCTCTTATTTATTTATTTATTGGTCTTTCTCGGCAAGTTGAAGAATCATCAGTAGAAACCACGTTAATTAAAGTGATGTAAATAGTTTTATTTTTAATGTCGCAAAGCAGTGATGGGTTAACTAGCATGAAGGAGATCATGCAGACTAAAACCATTCCAGATTCGAGTCCGGTACGTTTAATTGCTGATACTATGATTTATGCCTGGGTTGGAGATGTGAATTTAATTTGTTTAGTTTCAGGAGGAAAAGCAAAAGTGTGAGGAAAAAGTGGCCGTGGAGTCTGGAGATGGTAGTATTTTTTCAGTAGTTGGTGAAGATGAAGAAAGCTATGCTAATTCTGTTTCTGAATTTGGATTTCCAATAGTTGATGGGGGTGAAGAAGAGCAGAAGAAATACTGTAACCAACAGACTGATTCTGAAGAGGAGGAATATAAAGCAATTGAAGGCGTTGGAGAAAGCATTCAGGTGGGTGCACTAGCATCAGATGAAGAAAGCACAGCAGCAATGGAGGTTGATGGGGTTAAAAAAGAGAAAGAAAAAGATTGTGAAGATGAAATGATTAATGTAGCGAATGTTGAGGGAGAGTTGAGTACTAGTGATGAAGCAAGTTATGCAGCAGCTGATCATGATATTGTCAGTGAAACAGAAGAAGAAGCAATAAACACAGTTTTTTGTGTGCGGGTAGAAAACAAAGAAGCTTGTCTGGATGATGATGATGATGATGATGAAACCATTACAATACAAACCCAAGAAATGCATCAGAGTCGGACATTTGTTGTTGATGATGATGATGATGACAGAGCAGCAGTAAGAGAAAAGAGAGCCCTACCACCGAACCAATTGATAATGATGAATAAAGAAGAACAAGGCAAAGATGAGGACAAGGAATGTGAGGTCCAGTCTATGAATAAAGACAAAGAAACACCATACGTAGATGCAGAAGCAGAGTTGTTGATGATTACAGAAGATGAATTAGGAAAAAGCAAGGTGGAAGCTGATGATGAAATCTTGTTAATACAATCACATGCTACTACAGCCAAGAGTGAAGTTGGGATTTCGGCAGATGAGTCTGTGCAGTGGGAGGAGGAAGCAAGCCACATAATTGAAGAAAGCATGAAGGAAGATGACTCAATTTTACTAGGCAAAGGGCACAAGACCGATGATCACCACAAACATAAACACCATAAATCTTTCACACACAGACACAGACACAGGTTTGCCGAAATTAGTCTTGTTCCTAGTCCTACTTTGTTGCTCATTTTCATGTTATTGGCTCTTGGAACTGGAATACAAAGATACCTGGTCAAATAATACCCACCCTACGCCCCAACCCTGAATACAAAGATACTGGGCCTTAGGCCATCCACAATGGGAGTTATACAAGGGTTTAATAGAATAAATATGAATATAATATAGAGGAGAGAGAGTGTGTAATTGAATGGCCATTGAACGGTGAAATGAAGTTGTAACTGAAAATTTATTAATTTTTTAAGAATTAAAGTGAATGTATATATTCTCTTTTCTAGTTGGCAATCCATACAACTCTCCATGGGTTTAATCCATTGGAGATGGCTTTATAATTAAGGGTTTAGGTCATTTTTTGTCAAATAACTTTTGGTTTTATATTCATTTGGTCACTTAACTCTTTTTAAGTTTTAAAAAGTCATCGAACTTTTAACTTTGTGCTCATTTAGTTACTTAATTTTTGTTTTGTCACATTTAGTTACCTAACTTTTAAAATTGTGTTCATTTATTTAATCATTAAACTTTTTTTTTTAAAGTTTAGTGACTAAATGAGCACAATTTTAAAAGTTAGGTGACTAAATGAATACAAATCTAAAAGTTAGGTGACTAAATGTGACCAAACCAAAAGTTAAGTGACTAAATGATCACAAAATCAAAAGTTTGATAACCTTTTAAAACTTAAAAATAATTAAGTGACCAAATGAGTAAAAAACCAAAAGTTAAGTGACCAAAAATAACCTAAACCCTATAATTAACATCATCTTTATACTAGTTGGTGCATATCTATTTGTAACACGATATATATATATATATATATATATATATATATATATATATATATATATATATATATATATATATATATATATATATATAGGGCTAGGTTATTTTGTTTCTTACATTTATGATGTGTTAGAATGCATCAATAGGGATTTAGTAAATTAAATAATTATTTAGTTAAATAAATATAGATATTAAAAGATTTCCATAATTATATGTATATTAAATGATATCTATAATTATGATTCTCTTTTTATGAACTAATTAAATCCGTCATTAATGTCTTCAATAACATTCTTTTAGAATGAATTCACATCTAGATTTTTATATATGAGTTCATATTATTATTGATATTAATAACGAATTTAATTCATTTCCATATAAATGAGTTATAAGTATGAATAACATTTAATATACATATAATTAATACTAAATTCCTATTGGTGCATATAGATGTGAAAAATATTTGAACCTACCTATATATATATATATATATATATATATATATATATATATATATATATATGTAGAGAGAGAGAGAGAGAGAAACCTATTACTTAATAGATCGCCTCCTAGATCTTGTCATAGCCAGAAACATTTGTAAAAAAAATTCATTCTTATCTTACACTTTACCGTTCTAAGTTTATACACCTAAATCATACAAGACTAGGTACGCTCAAGCATGACAGATGCAAAGAATTCACTAATCTTTATTGAGCTTTATGCAACAATTCTCACTCATCATATATATTCAGATGCAAGGGTTTAGAGATCCTCAAGTAATAAAAGAAGCCATCAGTACAGTACCCCATGTATACTATAGACAGATTCCAACAACTGATAATCTAACAATTCTAAAGCATAAAAAAAACACACACATCCTTCTTTTTACCTACCTGGGTAATACAAAGCTAAAGGACCAATTAGCACTTTAAACAATTGTACTTGCGAAATGCAAAAATATAATGGTGAACACAATTAATTGACTTTGTTATTCCTTTCTGATATGTTACTTTTTTGCTTGCATTTTAGCAAGCATGTTGATGAATGGTGATTTGGAAACCAATTGCCCAATAAGAACGTGATTCCAATGGAGCTGAGGGAACGAATTTTCTTAAAAACTCGAAAGAAAAACTTTTAGTTAAGTTAGAGAATACATTAATGATTAATCTAAACATCAAGAATGAATAATAACAATAGTATCATAATCATGCTAAATTTTAATAATCTTCAACTTTAAGCATGCAGTCATAATTGCATACAATGATCTCTCCTTCAACTCTACTGCCTCATAGGTTATATATATATATATATATATATATATATATATATATATATATATATATATATATATATATATATATGTGTGTGTGTGTGTGTGTGTTTAGGTTCATTTGAGACCATGATAATTTAGTAAAACTGTAAGACCAAATCTAAAAATATTTTTAAAATGCAAAATAAAAGGAAAATTCAAAAATTCTTTTTTTAATTATTATTTTCGGAACTTTATTTAACTAAAAAAATATAAAAAAATAATAATATATATAAAAAAATAAAAAGAATTACCGTTTTTTTAAATACGTGAAATATTTTAATAGAATATTACATTGTACATATTATAATATGATTTTTGTAATGTTTAGAATATTCTACTAGATTTGTCAGATATGTAGAATATTATAAATATTCTACTAAAATATGTAAAAAAAATGTATTTTTTTGTATTTATTTTTTATTTTTTTGGTATTTTTTTTTATTTTTTGATTTTGGAAAATATATATTCCCAAAATAATATTGGAAAAAAAATTTCAAAAATTTTCAATTATTTTGCATTTTAAAAATGTTTTTGTTTTATCTAATAAATGAGTGGCTAGGATTGCGTTTCACGGTTTCACAAAATTAGGCCACCTCACATAAACCTAACCATATATATATATATATATATATATATATATATATATATATATATATATATATATATATATATATATATATATATATATATATATATATATATATATATATATATATATAGGTCCATTTGTTTCTAGCATCTATTGTGTGCTTGTACACACATCTGGACCAACGAATGGAATAGAATCAATGATTATGATATGAGGGTCTATGATATTACAATAGGGTAACGTGTACCTTATTATCACACAAATTTCAATATAAGGGTATTTTAGTCAACTAACATATATTAAAAAAAGGAAAATTTCGTATTTTTAGGGATAATTTAATCTCTTAATTTTGATATTCTAAAGTTTTTTAAATTAATTAATTCAATTTTAATTATAACGTAGTTTTTTTTTATAATAAATCGAATTTATTCTATCATTCTGACATAATGTCAACCATAAACTACTAACAATATTTCCGATTTTATTCTTATAGAATATAGTTCCAATTCATGTATTTTTGATAATTAACTGTATTTAAGAATTCTACATATTCTTCATATACATCCAAGTCAGTCTATGATTTTATTCTTCATATACATTCGAACTTAAATACAAATTCATACACATTCTTATAGGCTAATAGTCATATACATTTTAATATAGTTACATAAATTCTATCAGAATATCATAAAAAATGAATGAATATCTTAAGAAATGGTATTCTTAAATATATATAATTATTGAACAAATTAATTTGTTTCTTCAATGGTCCAAATAACTCACTTGATTCCAACTATTCTTACAAAAATGTGATGTATTATCGTATGAATGTAATTCTTCGCAAATATACTTGTTGAATTCGATTCCAAGTCTTTTTCTTGTATGATTAATATTTGATTCCTTTTTCAAGCCATTCTGAAAGAATAACATGCATTACTTATTAGTATTACCAATTAAGCAAATATACTTGTTATTATCAAATATTCTTAAAGATATTTTGACATAATGCATTTATACAAACAAATTCTGATAGAATACAATACAAAATATTCTATAAGAATACATATACTTTATTCTAATAGGATATTACTTAGAGTGTAATAGCTATAAAAAAAACATGTATATTCTACAAGAATGATACCGTAAATATTCTCCAAGAATGGCTTTGATTATTCTTAAAGAGTATGGAATTAATTCAAAGAAATTAAACTAAATCATCATGTTTATAGAATAGCTAACCATAAGCAAAGCTAGTTAAAATAGAGAAAATAAAGACCTCATTAGACCAATACAAACCATATTAACAAAACTACATTAGCTAATTTTTAAATGGATATAAAGACTTATCAATGGACATCATGTGCAAATAAATGAATGAAATATTTGGTTCAAGCATTTTAACAAATAGTTGGTGGGCAAATTCAGATGCCATTTTAATTTAAAGCTTGATGCTAGTTTAGGGAACAAGAAAATCAAAGTTTTATGTTAATCCATCCTTTTAAAAAGAAAACTTAGAAAGTCGAGTTTTAGGACTGTAAGAAAACTTCGCCATTTAAGAAACATTAACAATCCTTAAACTGAAGGATAGTACCTAGGGATTATTTTGATTGATTAAAAATCCTTCTTGATGATCTTGATATATATATATATATATATATATATATATATATATATATATATATATATATATATATATATATATACACACACATAAATACGCCTATATACCTCGTCTTTAGTTCTTCGTGCCTTCATTCTTGCATCGATAGAGAAGAGGGGTAGGTTCTTTGGTTTTTTGCTTTGCAAGGTCACTGGTGTTTGCAAAAATCTTCTTGTTCTTTGGACAGAAAAATCGAACATGATGGAGGTGAGTGGTGGCAATGACTAATGGAGGACCGACGGTAAAGATTACCAGTGAAGGTTTGTGGTCGACAATTGAAGGATTTAGGGTTGTGGTTGAAGTCGGCGTTTTTCTAGTGATGGTAATGAAAGATACGTCTAATTTAACAAACAAATTCATCCAATTTAAAGAATATTAAATGTTTTAAATATTTACCATAATTAAGTGTAGTCAAGATTACTATTATACCCTTTTATGATTTATTATTGAATTTATTTTTGTTTTATTCTGATTGGTTGTTAGAGGCACATAATATTTATTGAAAACATTTGAACCTAATTTATATATATATATATATATATATATATATATATATATATATATATATATATATATATATATATATATATATATATATCTTAACTATGTTATGAAGCATGAACTTTTCTTGAAATTTAAGAGGTACATGCTTGATAACTTAATGTACAAATATTTTATGCACAAACCACTCATCTTTTAATGAACAAAAACTAATTCTTATA